CCCCAAAACCCCAAAACCCCAAAACCCCAAAACCCCTTTCCTGAAACGCAACATTGGAACAAAAATATATAGCAAAAGTATTTTGTAAGCAATATTCACAAATCAAAGATTAATCATCACGTGTCTGGTCAATCGTGATATGCTCAGTGTTATTAAGCATTGGCTCTTTAGCTTTGAATTCAGTTTCTGGTTGTGGATCATCAACTGAGCTATAGACACTGAGTCCGTCATTCTTTTTAATCTTAATTGCCCAGTAAATTAGGAAACCTCCTCCGATGAGAAGAATCGCACCAAGCCCATATCCGATGATTCTGATTGCCAATACAGCAGTTAGGGCAGACTGAAGTGCACCAAATCCATCATGAATCTGGCTGGCTGATAGGGAATACTCTTTCTTGATATAAACATATGGAAGGAAGAACGAATCATCAACTTCTTCAAAGAGGTAATCATTCTCAATTCTGAAGTTGATCATGAGTCTCAAGGCTGCTTTGACAGTTGCTCCAGTCCATGGCTCTATCACAACATACAGGTCATCTTTATCTTTACTAGCTTCGATGATTTTTCCTTCTTTATCAGAGATTTCTGGAGTCATATGTTTGTTGTAATTAATATCTAAGTAGTTTCCTTTGGATGCAAAAGCAGGTGCCCCATAAGTAGAGGTAACATTAAGTACTCCATGCACTCCTGCGTAGTAAACATCATTTGATTCTTCTTCAGTGCCATTCTTCATGAGATTATTGTCTGGCTTATACTTCCAAGATGAAAGTCCATGAACACTTTCACTTGTATCATAATCGAAATGAACAGGCATCATAACATCAGATGAGAACATTGTGAGTCTATTTGGGCCATCCATCAAGGGTGAAAATCCTCCAGCATCAGTTCCTTGCAAGGGAACTATTTCCTTCCATGGATACCAGAATGAGGTTTCTGTAGATCTGATGCCAGTTCTATTTTGTGTAATTCCTCCAATCATTTGTGTATTTTCATACATACATTGCTGTCTGGTCAGGTTATAGAGGTCATCTCCAACAAAGAAACATCCAGTAGAATTTTGTACAGCATCATTAGGATTGATAATTGCAGACATAACATCGATAGTGGGTTCTCCTCCTTCTTCTGGCATTTGCAAGGAAGTTTGTTTCAGAAGTGGATCTTCATATCCTTCAATGTAATCTTTAACTCGTTTCTGAATAAATAGTCCTCCAATTCCTTCTTGGATCATTAGCATTTTTGTGTATCTTAAGAATTCAGGAGTATTAAAGATTTTCAGATCACCTTCAGATTCTGTTTCAAGTAATATATCTCCAATGAATTTATTGTTATACAGTGCCCCGCTGGATATGATTTCCCATGCCTTGTCAAAGTTCATTTCTGGCATTTCAGCCTTGATCCTTTCGTAGTATGACCTAAGCTCTGGCTTGTAGTGACGGACTCCGGTTAACGCTACCAAGTCAGAAGTAGGACTCAATGGCTTCGGAGGATTGTCACTGATCGAGTTGTTGAACCACTGGGCATATCCCAGTTCTCTGTTACTGCAGAAGTTGCCAACAGACCTTTTACAGAACGAGCTTGCGTACACTTTCTTGACTTTCTTCATGGCGGTCATGAGGTTCCGCTCGAGGTAGTAGCCTGGAGTCAACAAGCCTTGCATTGCTTGTTCGCTGAGTCCAGTGCTTTCGTAAATGTAGTTCATTTTGTCTGGGTCTCTAGTGAAGTACAGTGATGCATAGAACCCATAAGACTCTGCTGAAACCAAGTCGAGTTTGGTGTCATTGCAGAACCTAGGAACCTGCTCGTCTTCGACTTCTTTGATGTAGCTCCTGATGTTCTTCTCACAGTCGTTTGCATTGCTCGTAGCCATGAGGTTACCATACAGATATGCTGGGAACTCTCTGGACAGCCAGTTGTGAGCTCCTTGTATTCCACCTGCAGCGACTCCGTTGAGATTGGTCTTGAGGTAGTCTCCACCCTCTTGTGCTCTCATGGCAGTGATCTCGAGCATCTTCTTCATCCAGAGCATGAGCAAGTAAGTTCTTCTGTCATCTTCGAGCTGCAGCGTTTCAGTGATATCACTGTAGACTCCGAAGTCAACTTCAACAGTGGTGTTGTCGAAGATGTCTGGCATTGTTTCGACCTGGCCGAACACATGTGCCAATGTATCGATGTTGAACAGTGAAGACTCAGGCAGTAAACCTTCGAAGTCTTTGGGTGGAATGTAGAACAAGTGGCTGTACTCTTTGCCGCTCTTTGGGCTTCCAAAGTCAATGCCGTTGAATGTTTTCTCGTATGGAGTTTTCTTGAGACGGTTGAGCAAGTCGGACATGAAGTAGCTGATTTCTGGATATCCTAATACGGTGGTATCGATCTGGGACACAGATTCTTTGTTGAGGCCGAGGGCTGGAAGCTTAGTGAAGTAGGAGGAGGACCACTGCCAGTAGGCGAAGTCAGCAGGTGCTCATCTCTGGTCACCCATTTTGGGGCATGCTGATGTGAGCAGTTCAACAGTTGAATCGACAAGTGATCAGAAGTTATTAGTTGCTTCCTCCATAATAGTAATAGTACTAAGCCCGAAATAAGTGAAGATTTCATTCTGGAACTCAATTTTTTCGACTGGATCGATAGAGCAAAGAGCTGCCCATTTAGCTACATTATCCGGACTATTTGTTAAGAATTCAAATACTTACTTGTTTAAACCATAGGTTTTATCTTCTCTCATGTATTTTGCCTTGTTTACATCAACACTCACGTCATCAGAGGCTGGCCATAAGGAGGCTTTAACTGCTTCTGAAGTTCCAAAATTCTCATCAACCATGAGGTTAAATGCGATTGTTTTTAGCAAAGAATTTCCAAGTCCGTCCACTGTGACAGAGTAGAGAGCTCCGAGTTGAGTCCTCCATTTAGGAGCCTGTTTTAAGCTAAGCCACACACCGAGAGCAGTTGGATTGATTACAGTAATGGTTTTATTGTAATCTTCTGGAACTGGGAACACGTCAGTGTTATTGTAAAGTGGGTTTGAAGAAGTATATCTATAGACAGCAGCATTCTATATAATTAGTACCAAACTTTTGCATCAACTTACTCTCTCATTTTGTTTTGGATCAGAAGGAATCTGGACCTTGGTGTAATTTATGTCATGATAATTCTCCACTGTTAAATATGGAATAGGATCCATCTGGACAATCTTTGGTCTTGCTCCATCCAAAACAATCTGTAGGGAGAAATTAATTAAGGTATAAAAATCAGCTTACTTCTTCGGGATTTGTGACATTATAGACAATGTGTTGCTTAATGATTTCAATTTCGGCATCTCCAGGAAGTGCACTCCACAAGTCTTCATTTTCTCTTGACACAGCCACTTGTGGTGGAACACTACTTCTGAGGACTCCGTAAATGATGATTGGTAGTACAATTGCAATTAGAATTAAGAACACTCCTGAGACCATTGCTACAATACCGCAAACCGTGAATTTCTTAGGTCGGCTAGTATTCTTTCAACACAGCATATTTATTATTATATAATAGAACTCAATAGGTAGCTGAGTATAAGGGGTTTTGGGGTTTTGGGGTTTTGGGGTTTTGGGG